CTGCTTTGTTTTTTATCATCAAATTTTATTTTTCGGACAAGGTAATATTAAATTTTAGAAACTTCGACAAAAATTACCCAGATATTTAAATGACAACTTTTCATGCAATGTTCAGTATATAATGGTTATGTTATTTTAGGCCTTGTCAGTGGGAACAACTACAAACTTTTCATGTAGTGCAGCCAGACTTTGTGTGATAATGTCTAGACCTTGTAAAGTTAATAATGTCCAGACCTTGTAAAGTTAATAATGTCCCGACCTTGTGAAGTATATAATGTCCCCACCTTGTGAAGTTGATAATGTCCAGACCTTTGTTAAGTTGATAATGTCCAGACCTTGTGAAGTTCATGATGCCGGGATCTTGTAAAGCTGATAATGTCTAGACCTTGTAAAGTTGATAATGTCTAGACCTTGTAAAGTTGATAATGTCTAGACCTTGTAAAGTTGATAATGTCTAGACCTTGTAAAGCTGATAATGTCTAGATCTTGTAAAGTTGATAATGTCTAGACCTTGTAAAGTTGATAATGTCTAGACCTTGTAAAGTTGATAATGTCTTGACCTTGTGAAGTCTATTATGTCCAGACCTTATGAAGTTGAAAATGTCGGGATCTTGAGAAGTTAATAATGTCTAGATCTTGTAAAGTTGATAATGTCCAGACTGTGTGAGGTTGATAATGTCGGGATCTTGTAAAGTTGATAATGTCGGGATCTTTTAAAGTTGATAATGTCGGGATCTTTTAAAGTTGATAATGTCCGGATCTTGTAAAGTTGATAATGTCGGGATCTTTTAAAGTTGATAATGTCCGGATCTTGTAAAGTTGATAATGTCCCGACTTTGTGAAGTTGATAATGTCTAGACCTTGTAAAGTTGATAATGTCTAGCCCTTGTAAAGTTGATAATGTCTAGACCTTGTAAAGTTGATAATGTCTTGACCTTGTGAAGTCTATTATGTCCAGACCTTATAAAGTTGATAATGTCCGGATCTTGTAAAGTTGATAATGTCGGGATCTTGTAAAGTTGATAATGTCGGGATCTTTTAAAGTTGATAATGTCCGGATCTTGTAAAGTTGATAATGTCCCGACTTTGTGAAGTTGATAATGTCTAGACCTTGTAAAGTTGATAATGTCTAGCCCTTGTAAAGTTGATAATGTCTAGACCTTGTAAAGTTGATAATGTCTTGACCTTGTGAAGTCTATTATGTCCAGACCTTATAAAGTTGATAATGTCCGGATCTTGTAAAGTTGATAATGTCGGGATCTTGTAAAGTTGATAATGTCGGGATCTTTTAAAGTTGATAATGTCGGGATCTTTTAAAGTTGATTATGTCTAGACCTTGTAAAGGTGATAATGTTCAGTCCTTGTAATGTCCAAAGTTAGCTGGACCTACTCCTTAACGACGTAAATTCTCACGAGATATGACGAAATTGGAAGGTCTCTGATCAGGAGACGCAAGCCTTGGGACCAAGCCTGCTGAACACGTTGCCATGCCCAACACTCTCGTGAGAATATCTGTGCCTGCTGTATTCGCTATATGGCGTGTGGTGAGTCGTCGATCATCAATAATCATTTTATATGTCATCAACATCTTCCTCAATGATGCCAGTCGAAGGTCTTCTTGATCTTGGATAATCTTTGAAAGGAACCCATCCCTCGGGTACTCCGCTACCTACCTCTCGACAGTGGCAAAGGAAGGAGCATCATTCCATAAAGATGCCGACATGTCCGCATGGATGGCTGTTGAAGTTATCCCTTTCAGTCATAGATACATAATGCAACGCGGTAACCAATTTTGGCATTTTTAATGAACAGCGAATACGTCACTCTGACGTGTGTATAATTGCGCTGCCTGGTCGTGTATCTGGTTCAACTGCAGCCTGTAATCATTGAACGCATTGAACTTAATACATGCCAACTGTTAAGGGCTTTCTTTTCATCCTTCTTAGTCAGGCTCAGAACCTTTCAATTATTCCTCATGGTTTGTGCCCGCCAGCTGACAATCATTATCATATTTCAAAAAGTATGGTGGGTTGCTAAGCGATTCATTAGAATGTCAGATGGCTGTGTAGGTTGACAAGACAGTGGCTGCGCTATGAGCCTGATTTCAAGATAGGCAACGAGGTGTAACATCCTCATCATTATTTCAATACGTTATTAGGGGGCACAGGTGGTCGTCTAAGGCACCGCGATTCGCTCTGCAGAGTTGCGTCCCTTGGGCACGCCAGAAACCTATGATTGTGGGTTCGAATCCCGGTTCGACCCGATTATGTTTCTAGGTTTGTCAGCACCATACCTGTGCTCGTGGGTTTCACCGAAGTGTTAAACGTCTGAGACCTGCATCACTTCGGGCTTTCCTCCCACATTAAGCTGACACGCCGCGATATAACTGGAATACTGTTAAAAAGCGGCGTTAAACCCAACTCACTCACTCACTCAATACGTTATTCATAGAGGATACTATACTAATCCTGTAGCGAGCGAGTGAGTGAGTGAATTTGGTTTCACTCCGATTTCAGTAATATGCCAGCAATATCACTTGCTTCGTTTCGCGTTGTGTGCATGGGGAGAGTCGATCCCGGAAGAAAGAACTATTTTATCTTCTTGGCTAACCCTTCGCCCCAAAGTACAGTGAATCGGTTGGGTTCAACGCCACTTTTAACATTATTCAAGTTATATCACGACGTGTCAGCTTGATGTGGGAGGAATGCGCGAAGTGATGCAGGTTTAACGTCGCTTTGAACAGTATTCTACTTACTTTTTAACGGCACGTCAGTTTACTTAAGAATTGACCTTCACTTTGTGTGAGTTCATTGGAGTATGAACCTTCATAGAGTTAGGGCCAAACTGTATGAACGCCTGAGCTTGCGACGGTGTTCATACAATGTTTGGCCCTCACTCTATAAAGGTTCTTACTCCAATGAACTCACACAAAGTGAAAGTCAATACTTATATTTTTTTATCACAATTTCTTACCTCAAAGGATGTAGGCCAAGATCTAAACACAATTATATTTAGTACTTGTGACTTCATGTTTACACTGACAGCCATACAACAACTAGCTATATCGCGGAGTAAAATAGTTCCTCAAAAAGAGAGGTGGCATGAGCGTATGGTGAGTGAGTGAGTGAGTTTGATTTTACGCCGCTTTTAGCAATATTCCAGCAATATCACGGCGGGGGACACCAGAAATGGGCTTCACACATTGTACCCATGACGGGAATCGAACCCGGGTCTTCGGCGTGACGAGCGAACGCTTTAACCACTAGGCTACCCGACCGCCCCGGCATGAGCGTATGGATGCACAACTTGCTCTTCAGAAACATCTTATGCAACACATGTGTTCAAATCATATCCTCATTTGATGAGCAAGTTCTGTAAAGAACTACCTCAGCAAGTGAGTCACAATGACAGCGCGTCGTAATACATTTACATCAAGTACAAGACGTCAAAATGGCCGACACGATAAACGCGACGGGAGAGATTTCCGAAGTTGTTAATGAACCTGTGGCGATTACATGTGTTAGTCATCATTGACCAACTGGCCGATCATTGAAAGCTGAATACAGATGCGTCAAACAGACACTAAGGTAAATTCATAGATTGCTGGAGACGGTCAGTGTCAGCCTAGACACGGAGCGAGTCGATACTACGATAGTTTAGATGTGCATTTCTTCGTTTGTTCAATAGGATGGGCCTTAGCGAGGATATTCGTGAACAATCATGCAGTCACGCTCTCTGACATTTCTCAATGTATACTGTAACGCTGCGACCAAGAATAAAGGTTCTTAATGACCAGAAAGAACGCTTATGTATGTTTTCGTGCTAGGGAATTCCCAGGGATTTCCCCAGGAATGTGGAAGTAGTCCGTCATTGTTTTACGTCATTTCAAGAACACGGTCTCGTGAAAAACGTATGAACGTCAAATTGTGTCGTTCATACACTTATGAACGTCAATTTCGCGGTCATGTGACCGCCCTCTCGTCCAATGGAAACGCCGTATATCGTGTAAACTTCAAATTAAAAAAATATTGTGATGCAGGTCTCAGACGTTTACCACTTCAGTGAAACCCACGAGCACGGGTATGGTGCTGACAAACCTAGAAACAGTATCAGGGCGCACTGGGATTTTAACCATGAGCATAGGTTTCTGGCTGGTCCAAGGGACGTAACTCCTCACAACGTCAACTTTTGACGTGCCCCGGATTAGGATTAGAAGATCATACTAATCCATCACAGGGCAACATAGTCAAATACAATCCTGAAAAATTGAATTGAAGTAATCGTATGGTCTTCCAGAATTTTCCCCAACAATGTAGTCACGTAACAGTATTACAATTGTCTCGAATTACAGGTTACTTGTTATTTTTTATGTCGCGGATATCTTCCCGAGACAAGGGAGTTAACTGACTATAAAAGTCCAGTTTCCACCCTTGCCTTGTCTGGTATTATGGAGTTTGGCTGGACTAACGAGTCTATGCATAGTCCAATCAAAATTGCGCTCCGAAATCGAAATCCGGATCGTAAACTGTCAAGCAGATTTCGGTCGATTGCGGGATTTGCAAAGCATGTGCACCGCTAACTCGTTGTCAACAAATATTTTCTACATCTTTTCATGTTTATAATGAAGGTGCTCGCGTGATTGGATGCACTTCACTACGTAAGACTCATTTTATCACAATATATAGATCTTGATTATCGATCAGATCGTCTTGAATGGGCGCCGCTGTTTTGTTTGAAGCAAAGGCAAGTGATACGAGAGGTGGAATCTGATTGGTTCATAGGAGAGGCATAAAAGGGACATAACTCGTAATAGCCACTGGTGGCGCTACGATCGAGCCCTGGAATTCCAGCATAGTTCGCAAAGGGTCGAAACTGGACTTTTTAAGTCAGTTAACTCCCTTGACTCGGGAAGATGGTTGCGGAGGACATTCCGTCTACATAACTCAGTATATTAACTAATAAAAACAATTTATGAAATTGAATACAGACCATATATAAAATAGCTTTAAAACTTTATTCATCTATGTTTCATGTTACAAAGAAACTGCAATCGAGCAGCAATGATATAAAAATGCGAATATGCAATCAGTCTTTTCATATCAAATGGGAATCACATAAAGTGTATGTAAATGAAAACCCTTCACGGTCAAAAAATAACTTTTGGTTTTAAAACATTAATTCAAATGAGTCCTAATGTAGGCCAGACAACAGATTGCGTAATTACATTTTTATTTACATATACTGGATTTCAATTAATATATAATTGAACATAAAATGTAACCCATCACTTTATTCAATATATTAACATAAATCAAAAGGTGTGTCTTTTAACATAATTAGATATTATACGATTTAGAAAAAAATCTCCCTTATTGAATTTCCCCATATTATTACCCCATATGGAGACAAAAATATTAATAATATGAATATGCCAAAATGATATAATTTTGAAGAAAATGTCATTACACACCAGTACTATGAAAGACGTTGTTCCCTTTACAAAAGTAATTGAAATGATAAATTCGGTTAATTTTCTCCTCCCACCACAGCGAACGGGGATGTTCAGCTATGCCATATATACATAGACACAGAGAGAAGGTTTATTAAAATGTATCCCAAACTTCGCGTGGAAAACTGTCTAGTTTTCGTATATCGAAACTCCAAAAGACGCAAAAAGATTACAAAGCAAACACAACAATTCTCCAAGTTCCATGACACTTGAATAAAACCAACAACCTGAACCAATGGTGGTTCCCGTTAACAAGAGATAGAACAGTAGGAACAGACCAGAGATCTGCGACGGGGGGGGGGGGGGGAGGTGCGAACATTGCGTGTCTAAAACCTAAAGCAGAATGTTTAAAAAAAGTTCGACGCCACGCTTCTTCCTTTCAAACAAACTTTAAAAGTAAGTATTTCTTTGGATAATTATAAACACAATCCAATATTGAATTTACGTTACGCAATTGAAGTAGGATACCCATCAACAAGTTAACGTACAGGATCCTGGCATTAAATACAGCAATTGTTGCCTGGTATGTAATAAGCGGGTATGCGCACTTCCAAGCCGACCCGGATTTTTCATCAGTAATATCATGTATTATAAAACATAATTTTCAGAAAATATCGTCTACGTGCGCATGGATAATGCATACGGGTGTTTGACGTACGTTATGAATGCACTCCTGGCTTGGTCACATATACTGTCGGGGGAAAGAAACGCAACTAAACGCGACGCTGTCTTTCTTAAAGGTAGGATATGTTGACAGATCAGAATCAATCAAGAGTGAGTGAGTTGGGGTTTAACGTATTCAATGGGACTGATTCCACGTAGCGACCGTTGACATACGTCAGTCTCATCGCTGACCCTCACCAGGCAACGTATTTTAGTCATATCAATCCTAAACACAAGTCGTAGATATGCACATGTCGACAGACCAAGGGTCGAAATCGGGCCGAATATTTGCCAGCTAAGGGACCCATGTCCGATCACAACATACGATTGTATTGGAGTTGCGTTCTTCCTGTGAGTGGCGGGTTCTAACGGTAGAGCAGGACATGCTTTTCCTTGTCGCGAACACCCGGGGTTACCGATAGGACAGAACATGCCTACCATTTTCGCGAACACCTGGTGTCATCACTCATTTTGACCACTATTTTGCCTTTTACGCCCTAAGGAATCTGTTAATCTGCATAAATCGAGACTGGTTACTCTCTGGTGTTGACGTTTTATATTATCCTAAAACTTCCCGAAACTGCTTATACATGTTAAGCAATATCCCCACCCCTATAAAATTCAATAAAACATCACTTGTTACCAAAATCCAATTGGCCCCACCTTACTCCAATGCACAATAACACTATTCACGTTGTGTAGAGTCAATAAGCAATATGGCATATCAAAATCATGTAGATGCAACAAATTTAACATATGGTCAATTATTTACACAACAATCTAGGAAAAATAAAACAAAATCACTGCTAGTCCATTACCAAGATAAAAGCAGAAGAGTATTAAAAGGTACATACAAACTTGTCACACCAACGATTGCTGCCATATATCAATACTAACAACTGAAAAGAATATGGAAAACAGAACTGCGATTCCCTTGCAACATCCATGGCTTGTGAACCATAAAAATCTTGCCTACATGCTCACAGGCGCAGATGATTTGTGTGAATACTAAAAGTTAAAATTGTTCCCAACTTTACTGATCCGGAATAAGAGTGTCCGTTGTTGTGAGGTTCAGACAAGGTGCAGTTGTATTGCAAATGAATCCTTAAATTGTTTCGATGGCATTGTACTTAATTATGCATGTATTACAATTATGGAAACACTATTGTATGATTGTTTTCAGTGGATAATTTAGTCGACGCCAACATGACCCAGGACTGTAAAATGATGAATATGTAGAAAATGCAGATTTGTGCCATGACAATGAAAAGAAACATGAAACGGAAAATGGTGTTTTTGCTTAAAAACGAAATCGTTTACACTTGATAAAGCCAAATCGTAATCTGAAATAGAATCAACATTAATTCTTTAAAAAGACAACTAGTCTACCTTTTTGTTACAACAATGAAAACTCGTTAACTCGAATTCTTCGACGTCCTCGAAATTTATCGACTTATCTGAACTTCAAGACAAGCAGGGTGCCGATGTGCAGGATTCTACCAGGATTGTGTTTCATCGTAGAAGAGTTCGGGTTAACGTGGTTTCAGGTGCAATACACATTCGAGTTCTAATCTTCTATTTCTACCAATATCATCCTCGATATCCCGTGAATCATATCTCCATTCAAATTAGATAATTATCGTGGACCTTTCACAACTGTATCTTCAAATTGGAAGTGACGTCACATCTTCATCTCGCTCATGAGAGAATTTCATTGGACGGCTATTATTAGCGTCGTGTTACGAATCGAGTTCAAAGTTCAGCTGGTGAATAGATCCGAAGTATTTATCATAACATAAATGTGATATAATAAACTGGTTGATCGAAGCTTTACGAATATGTACAGCGATTATATTAAAATATATAGGAATAACTTATTCCGAACTTTAAAAAAACATTGATATATCTCTTTACGTTGATGAGGTAAACTTGCTAGTAATAAACCATTAATGACATAACGGCAGGTTACTATGATAATTCCACTTACAAAATTGTACAAGTACCGCAAACGTACGACTTCGTTGCTATACACATGAACAACATGACGTTGGTTATGTCAATAACGGTAATTAGATACGATTTATCATAAAAAATAGTCCATCAATAACCTTCTGTGTTTGGCAAGTGGTATGGCTATGTGAAACATGACACGAAATATGCAGCCACAACCGTAAAACTATTTCAGATATGGACAATACACTGACAAAACATCAGGATATTGGCACATATACCAAATATACACGTTGACCAAGGTTCGTCAAATTAACAAAGAATCACCAGTTATTGCACGAAGATTGGATATATATTTGTAACCGAACCAAAGACGAAGCACTAAAAACGTTCACAGTACAAATAGTCCCTAAAACGGAAAATAAACGCTAAATTAAATCTGAAAATAAAATAATGACATGTATATTCTAAAACTGAAGATTCCAGTACATATGTAAACACCAATACTTTGATCTTAGTCGATATTGGTTATTGGTGCTTTACAAATTCGATAAAGCGGGCGTTTAGTACATAAAGACCCTTAGCAATTCTTGCCAATAAAGACCCTTTGCAATTCTTGCCAATGGAAACACTGATCAAATATAGGCACAAGCCCTACAGGCGAGTTAGAGTTAAAAACAAATGTTTTTATATTCCTCATCATCTAGCCATTGAATAAACGATTGCAATATTATTTGAAAAATAATACAATTACATGCAAATCAGTATTTTAGTGTCGAAAGTGTTAACCTGTATACTTGTTTTTTTAGCATTTAGCACTGAGCCCCTCAAAAAGGTAAAGTATATCATAGTTCGTGATTGCATTATTGATCAACTTATTTACCTGAAATTGAATACAATTCCAATATGTGGACATTCTCTATATACAAAGTGTAGCTTTATTACTTGATTTGAGCATGCACGAATATTCTAGAACCGAAAACTATACCGAGTTTACGGCGTGCATCTATTATATTACTTTAAATGTGCAAAATATATTTTATCTTAGAATTTAGAAGGTTTCAGCAGAAAAATATACCATGTAAAAATATTTGCCTAGTCACTGGTTTCTGAGTTCTTTGTGATAGAACTCATTGTGTTAATGTCCTCGAACGATACAGGGTATATGATTCACCTCGTATGATCCGACTTATCTTCACGACTGCTTTTCAACTGAGTGACCAAAGATGTTGTTACATAGTTCTGACAGATGCTCCTGTTCCTTCATGTTTAGATACACAGCCGTGGTGCTCACCGCTTCATCCAAGAGGTACCCGGCAGGGATGCTCTCCCGTTCCTCATGCTCCAAGTTCCAGTAGAAATTCGGGAAGTACTTTGTCAGGACAGCGACAACGTAAAGCTCTTTACCAACAACAACTACACCGGGGGACCCGGATGTAGACTGATGAAGAGGGCCCTGGAACCGGAGCTTGTTGGGGTCAGTCAGGCCTTGGAAGCCTGTGGCTGGGTAACGCTTACTGCGGGCCCATTCTCTGACGGCCTCGACCTCGGTGTCTGTTGGCGGAGATGAGAGACAGGATGGGTCTCTTCTCTTGCTTGCATTATCATCGTGGCCGGCAAACTCCACCCTCCCATGTTGGCTGACGTCGGTGAAGCTGGCTAGAGGTGGCGGCAGGGTCTTCATGTCGTGAGCTTCCAGTTCCAGAATGGCTACGTCCAGGTCTGGGTTTGTGTAGGGCATACTGACAAACTTGAATCGGGTCAGATTGTCAAATTCATATTCCCCCATTTGGATGTATTCAAACTGAATCCAGATTTCCTTGTTGTTGAACATCTGCTGCTCTGAAGTCGCCATGTTAGCTGCAACAGAGAGGCTTTCCTGTGAGGAAGGTTTTACGCCCACTTAAGTATTATACCACGTAAGGTATATGTAACACGACCAAGGACACCGTAAGAAAGTCCTTGCCTCTTGAACTAAAACATCGTCATCTGTCTCTGATATGTGTGACGTCATCTACCGGGGATGTATCTGGTGTGTGACGTCCTCTACCGGGGATGTCTCTGATGTGTGACGTTATCTACCGGGGATGTCTCTGATGTGTGTGACGTTATCTACCGGGGATGTCTCTGATGTGTATGGCGTTATATACCATGGATGTCTTTGATGTGTGTGACTTCATCTACCGGGGATGTCTCTGATGTGTGAAGTTATCTACGGGGGATGTCTCTGATGTGTGACGTTATCTACCGGGGATGTCTCTGATGTGTGTGACGTTATCTACCGAGGATGTCTCTGATGTGTGACGTCATCTAGCGGGGATGTCTCTGGTGTGTAACGTCATCTACCGGGGTGTATCTGATATGTGTGACGTTATCTAGCGGTGATGTGTGACGTTATCTACCGGGGATGTCTCTGGTGTGTGTGACGTTATCTACCGGGGATGTCTCTGATGTATATGACGTTATATACCATAGATGTCTGTGATGTGTGACGTTATCTACCTGGGATGTCTCTGTTGTGTGTGACGTTATCTACCGGAGATGTCTCTGATGTGTGACGTTATCTACCGGGGATGTCTCTGATGTGTGACGTTACTCACCAATGATGTCTCTGATGAGGTTGTACGCTGTCATGATGTACTTGTCTCCGACCCTGAAGCCAACGCCTGTGACATGTGGGGAGTATATGTACCCAACAGATTCGCTGGTCTGTGCTATCTGCTCCTGGCTAGGTGCGTCTTCTGTATTGCCAATCAAGGACGACCGGAAGCCTGTGAACTCTGCATTAAACAAAGCTATCTTTACTATCGAGCTACCCATCAAAATAACCGTACGTATGTGAGGTATAATAAGTATGATATAATGTCGTGTTCAAGGTTATTTCACTTATATAGCGATGTGCATGCATGTGTGTGTGGCTGTTTGTACTAGTCCGGTATAATGCCGGTTTCGTATACTAGCCCACGGAAATGTTGTAGTTTAACATGAATACCCCATTCAAATTCATTTCACGGACTTCGTGCCGACCAGTGCTTTTTGTATCCCCTTAATGTCGAGCCGCAGGAAGGAAAACAACATATTTTAAAGTCTTTTGGTATGACGCGGTCGGGCATCGAACCTCGAAGCAATTATAAAAAAAATATCATTTCGCTCTCAAAATAATGTAGACATTTACAACACTTGCATACTGAAAGTTCACACTGGTGCTGAAAGACCAAGGGTTGTAATCTGAGCGATTATTAATTGTATCCACGATCAGTATCCTGGCCTAGCTAAGTGAGGCAACTCGGTTACAGAAGGACTTGTATACTATTCCAAGTAACACTTCTCACAGTATCAGGCAACATTGAAAATATTCCAGTTTCCAATGGTTGCCTGTGGGTGATTTTACTTCAATAAAATGCTTCACAAACCTGATGGCCGTATGTCCGATAGCATTACAGAAGAGGGAAATAGCGTTGATCTCAAGGTACTTTTTGACTAATGCACAAACCTCGTACAGGAAAACATGTGGTAAAAGACATTAACCTGCGAGGACTGTTATATAGGAAATTACCAAATGATATAAGTGCAAAAGTAGTCATCGAGTGCCCATTATTTCCACCATCATCCTGCTACGTGTATGTGTCACGGTCTTTGTTATCACATATGTCCTAAGTGGTATATATGACATTGTGTCTTGAACAGACAGGGAATTCCATTGTGAGTGTTTTGATCACGTGTGACGTAATGTCTTCAAGCCTTTCGGTAACGATCGATAGCTGCCTTGAAAAACACTTACCCCCCTTAGCCTCTTCTACAAATGACTCGAACGAGGACACTCCGTTCTGTACAGTTTCCTGGATGGCATTAGTTGACGGAAGTGCTTCCTTGCCGAAGGTTACGGCTGAGCCAAGTGTTTCGCTTGCTTTCTGTTTCACGGCATCAATGGTTGAAGGTGGACCAGAGTCGTCATCATTGGTGACCATCTCAGGCATGGCATCTTTTAAGACATCGTCCACAAGGCTCTCATTAGCTGTTTTGTCTTCAACACTCTTCATCACCTCGTCCACAAGACCTCCGTTGGAACTATTCTCCTCAACCGTAACTTGCTCCACCACTGCCAATCCTGCTTTGGTCGCGGACTCTTCAGGCGCGACTTCCGCCATGACTTGATCTAGGAGTCCGCCACCGGTAGCGGAGTCGTTGCCAGGTAACACCGCCTGGACCTGAGCCACCGTCACGGGGCTGATTTCCTCTAGCTTGGTCTTCACCTCCGTCAACTTCTCCTTCACTTCTTCTTTGCCAGATTCAACAGCTACCTGCACGGATTCTGCCCCTGAAGCTGCTTTGTCTGAGACTTCCTGAACTCCAGCTGCTGCTGCTGCTTCTACAGATGCCTTGACTCCAGATGCTACCTCCCCAGCTTTGGAGAGTTTCCCAGACAGGAGTGACCGTGCAGGGGTAGAATGGTCGTCCAACTCATCCTCCGAGGCGTCAATGAAAGGGATGGAAGGATCGGCCTAAAAGTTCAAAAGGTATTGCATGAGCCAGTGATATATATACATATCTCAAAGCTTTTGAGGAACAACGATACTGTGTATTTTCTCTATACTCTTTTAATGAGTACATATTTGCATCGTACGTTGTCTTACATATCATTATCCTGCATAATCGTTTGATTGTTAACGCCGCACTTAGCAATATTCCAGCTATATGACGGCGGTCTGTAAATTATCGAGTCTGGACCACACAATCTAGTGATTAATACCATGAGTCATGTCTTACGATAAGCATGGGTTGCTGAAGACCAATTCTAACCCGGATCTTCACAGGCGCCGACATAATCGTAAACAAACCCTAATGTAAATAAACTTATGAACAAGAAAACTGTCATCGTATAGTTACATTGATATAGAAATTAATTAATAGAATGACGATACGGAATATATAAATTAACAAACGATTAATCGCCTGTACACACCGAACCATCTGCAAAGAAAGCCCGTTGTGCATTAAGGCTATTTTAAAATAAAATGTTTTCAAATTGAACGTTACATCTAAACTTGTCTTTATCGTATATCATATTGTACAACTGTAACGAGAAGTTCCATATTAACATTTGTAAAGATCAATTTTCAACATGTTTCAGTGTTAACTTTACAGACAAAAAGTCTTCCAAATCCTAAGAGTAAATCTTCATTTAAATTAAAGACCAATAAAATTATACCGATTAAGTATAAGGATGTGTTTGTTTGTTTGTTTTTGAACGCCGCACTCAGCAATATATTAGCTATATGACGGCAATCTGTAAATAATCGCGTCTGGATCGGGGGATGGTGAAGACCATTTCTAACCTGGATCATCACAGGGGCAATAACATGAGAACATAATGACAGTTATTTTTGCCGCTAAGTGTATACAGACCCTGAATATTAATCCGGATATCACAGTTTCCAGTTAAACCGTCTAATTAACCTACCATTGGTGCGTATAGTAATTTACCTATCACTGTGACAAGAAGTAATTGCACATTGCCACTGTCAAGCAATTGAGGGCATATCCATTACGTCCAGAAACTCGTTAATTCAGTAAGAACGTGTTTTGTACGTGAGACAAGTGAGACTGCCTCGTCTGTTTCATATTTAGATCTGTGAGGGAGTGAGTGTGGTTTTACGCCACTTTTAGCAATATTCCAGCAATATCACGGCGGGCGACACCAGGAATGAGCTTCACATGTCGGGAGTCGAACCCGGGTCTTCGGCGTGACGAGCGAAGCCTTTAACCACTAGGCTACCCGACTTCCCATTTACATCTGTGCATATTGATTAAGATTGACAGTACTGTATGACTTGAGGTTTTTGATGTCTTCTATTCAGAACTTTTGAAGAACAATCTAGGAAGAAAGACCCATCCTCGAAATTGCTTAATCAGGCTTACGGCATGTGCCTTGTAAATTTTTCACAAAAAAAGGTTTTTATGGGAGACACGTGGAGCACATTTCTAAATTTGACGCATAAGTGTTTGTTTGTGTGTTTGTTTGTTGTTTAACGCCGCACTCAGCAATATTCCAGTTATATGACGGCTGTCTGTAAATAATTGAGTTTGGACCAGAAAATCCAGTGATTGACATCATGAGCATCGATCCACGCAATTGGGATTCATGCATCAACCAAGTCAGCGAGCTTGACCCCCTGATCCCGTTAGTCGCCTCTTACGACAAGCATAGTCGCATTTTACGGGTTGCTGAAGACCTATTCTACCCTGGATCTTCCTGGGTCGACGCATCAGTGACCAAGGCGTACTCTGTTGTTAGAGATTTCCAATTTCTTTCTTGTGGATCGGCTTCCTTCATATGAATATGAATTTCTGCACGGATTGGCAAAGTCAAAACAAGGTAATTTGACAAGAAGTTTAACTTAAGCTTCGGTTATATTGATGATCTGATATCATTCAATAACCACCGAATATCGAATTCCCGTCCACTGATTTACCCAGCTTAACTAGAAACAGAGGGGACCACATTGCAGCATAAAGATTCAGAGTGACAAAACACTCTCAACAAGACTGTATGACAAGTATGATGACTTCAAATTTCAAATAGTAAACTTTCCTTTTGGCGTCTACATGGCACAAGCTTAAGGTACAATGCTCTTTCTACCAAGATTTCAGAAAGCGTCAGACGACTCTTGCTCATAAGTTGTTTGATCAAGGCGACAACATTCAGGGCCTCAGTAAAGCTTTCGAAAAAGAATAATGGTAGACATGTGGAGGACATTTCCAAATTTGACGCATCAGGTTCAAAAATCATGTCCGAAGCAAGACCTTATTCTGACTTGTACCATGTGTTCCCGTGTTGTTTTTAAATGGTACGGTTGACTTGCCTTTGCATGTGTTTGTAACGGGGGACACATGCTCGTGATACAGTCGGAATCGTACAATAGACCGATTTTAGCAAAGATTCCTTGTGGCTATGGAAAGGGCTTTGTCGCTTATATTATTTTGATAATATAAAGGGCGTGTCGCTTTTTCATTTTTATAAAAAAAGAATATTATTATTATTATTATTATTATTATTATTATTATTATAAAACTGACCTCATCTTTCACTGGCGGCTGATTGGGTAGAATCACTCCACCCGGGCCAACTGAGTTCCGGTACTCTGGAATAGAAATCGTCACATGATGATAATCAGGTTTCTGAAAGCCCTTTTGCGTTTCTTCGACTGGATTGCATCCAGCACAGATCGTCCACTATCTACAGCTGATGGTATTTGGAACTAAATGTTACTGATAACACCAGCTGCTCAGATCTTATCACGTGCATTTAAAATCCATTTGGTAACATTTTGAAAAAAAAAACACTTAAAAAAGATACGATAGAAGAAGATATTGTATTAACACTCTCAATGGGCGGGGTACAAAGTATTTACAAATACTACAACGAGTTATAGATTTAATGATGTGTGTAAACATAATGTACCATAGAATATATCGAAGTGACATAGAGCATTGAAATAAGTGATAATGTACTCAGGAACGAGGTTGGACTGCGTGTAATAAACATTTAGATTACAATTTTTGAGATGATAGGAGCAGATATGACAGCCGTTTAAGGCAACAGACGCGTGGATCTAACACCAACGAAAGATGGGGAATATAAATTAAGGCTGACACATTGACCCTTTTATTGCCCTAGAGTATCAAAACCCGTGAATAAATGCTCACATAAACGAGACTTGACACACTGATACATCTTACGGTTGACTTAATGTTTCCCACAAACTTGAAACTTAATGAGACATGACTTAGATGTCATTGTACAGATCACATCAGTCTGTACTACATGACATGAAAGATTGATCAGCGCGTGTTCCCATTCGTCCTTGCGTTTAACAGAACAGCGCACTGACAATCGCTGTTCAAGTCCGGGTCTGGTAATTTGTATCTTTTCAATACAACATGGCTTTATAATAGAGACAGACCAGCAGTGACGACATAATAAACATGTCCAGCTACTCAAGCCATTGCACTCCATGGAAGGTCTGTGAACCGTGATGGGTTAACAAACTCGGGGACAATGGCATTGGCATCTTGTTCAATGGACGGATGCTAGACTGACGTCACGGATGATGCTCTTGTAATTCTTCAAATAGTTCTTCAATCTTTCAACTAATTTGTGGAATAAAAGTGTTCCTAAGCAACGGTTCCTTTGTCTTTGACCGGACATTGCCTTACTGAATAGTTAGTAAAACGCCATAACGGGAGAATTTTTTATTCATTGACTTTGATGACAGAAAACTGTGACGAACAATGTGTGTCTCTAGTAGGATTTGAACCCGGTGAATCCGGCGACATGAATAAACATCTTTAGAATTAACAATTATATGGGTGCGATATTAGAATAACTGTTTGATTGGCATTCTAGAAGTTGGCAGAATAAGTAAGTATGGATAACAACTTCTGGTTTATTGCATATAGCGACGTTTCCATGTAGATTCTAACACCATTATCAAGCTAGAGAGACAACAACCAAGTGATGAGAGGTATATATTCTCTTATCACAACATGTCAGACGTCCCCTTAAACAGTATTCCAGTTATATCACGGCGTGTCAGCTTAATGTGGGAGGAAAGCTGGAAGTGATGCAGGTCTCAGACGATTACCACTTCGGTGAAACCCACGAGCAGCTGTATGGTGCTGACAAACCTAGAAACATAATCGGGGTGAGAGTCGAACCCACAATCATCGGCTTCTGGCATGCCAAGGGGGCGCAACTCTGCAAAGCGAATTGCAGAACCTCAAACGACCCGTGCCCCAAAGCTCCCTGTGGAATGTTGCTGTAATACCCACCTCGTTTGTCGCCCCCGTCGGCTGCGGCAGCCGATCCGTTAGCCCGCAGCAAGGGTTTGCTTGCCGCAACATCTGCCTTAATTTCTGGCACGATCTCCTCAAAGTCCGGCTGACTGGACGGCGCATTAGCCGGCTTGTAGGCCTCTTCCTTTGGCTGTTTGTTTTTAGATGCACACCCACCCATTGTGATTATCTGTAAACAAACAAATAATTGATTACTTACTAGACAAGAAGCGGAAAGGTGGGTACAAAGTTTGAAATCATTCAAGCAACACTTCAATCTGATGCGGATGTTTAACTAAACAAAGCATCAGGATTACTTTTTTTGGATAGGAAAAAAAAAGAAAAAAAAGTTTCTTTCTTTCGAGTCGAACCTGGGACGTCAGCGCGAAAAGTAAAGCTTCAGCGTGAAGCAAACAGATTTCGAGTTACCTCCCTTGCATTATATCTCACCAAGCTCCTTCCCAGCGCGTGACACCTTCATTACACTGTCGGTAACATAGAATAGAGAGCTCCGCGAACGGGCTATGGCTGTGAGGAGCTTGATATCTCACCAAGCTCCTTCCCAGCGCGTGACACCTTCGTTACACTCTCGGCTAGGAAAGAGAGCTCCGTGAACGGGCTATCGCTGTGACGAGCTTGATATCTCAAGTGCAGCACAGCACATACACAACATATACAAAGATTCTATTGTCAAGATCGTTATTTTTCAGAATTTGAGTCAGTGAATGGCAGGCAGTTTAATGTCAGTCGTTATGCCACATTTGTCACTGTAGAGGAATACCAACTATTCCGTGAAACATCAAGTAAAAAAGTGGTGACAATTAACTGACGACTTCAGACAAGCATCTATCTTTATTTATTTTTTCAACGATTTTGTTTTGTTAAAATACAGGCAAATTTATTAGTACACCATCACCCCTCCCCTCACCCGACAATAGTCCAGCTATATGACGGCGGTCTGTAGTGAGTGAGTGAGTTGGGTTTAACGCCGCTTTTAACAGTATTCCAGTCATATCGCGGCGTGTCAGCTTAATGTGGGAGGGAAGCCCGAAGTGATGCAGGTCTCAGACGTTTACCACTTCGGTGAAACCCACGAGCACGGGTATGGTGCTGACAAACCTAGAAACATAATTGGGGCGAACCGGGATTCGAACCCACAATCATAGGTTTCTGGCGTGCCCAAGGGACGCAACTCTGCACAGCGAATCGCGGCGCCTTAGACGACTGGGCCACCCGTGCCCCCGACGGCGGTCTGTAAATAATCGAGTCTAGACCAGACAATCTAGTGATTGACTTCATGAGCATCCATCCACGCAAATGGGATACGATGACATGCATCAACCATGGGTTGCTGAAGACCAACGTCTATCCGCGGGGGGGGGGGGGGGGGGGGGGGGGGTACTTCAGACATTGTACCCACGTGGAATCGAACCTGGTATTCTGCTGAACGAACGAGCGCTGTAACCACAAGACAACACCACCACCCCCTTAGAAGGTGAATCGCGTCAATGAGATTGAATTTGCTGGGATTTCTTTCTAGCACTGGATAGTAAACAAACATTGCAATTTTACTCATAACATCTGTCTTGATTGGTTACATTAGCAACACACAGGGTGCTTGATTGACGGACAGCAATGTTTGTGTATACAGTGATACATTACAGTAAATAGACAAACTAATAAACAACGACACCCATCTTCTATTTCGCCCGAGAGCGAAACTGACACATTCTATTTTCTCCTGATAAACCTCACCAGCTACCATATTCAATTACAGCCCTCAAAAACATATGCCTTGGGCTGAGAATGCACGGAATTCACGAATATTCCAGTCTAAAAGATGTCAAGTGCTTATTTGGAATTTAAAAAGTCGATATGATTTGTTGGCACGGGTAATCGATAAGTAGCATGTCTGGAGTGTATAAGGAGGCGTTTGGGGAAAATATGGCGTGTCCACATTTCAAATCTCCCACTATCATTTATAACTTCTATTTAAACAAGGAGTGAAAGTCATTGAGTGAGTATGGTTTGAAACCGTTTTTAGTATTCCAGCAATATCACAAAAGACGGACTTCCCACATTACCCACGTGGGATAACAAACCCGGGCCGTCGGCGTGACAGGCGAACGCATGCCCCACTAGACTACCCCACCTCCCTTTTTCAACAATAAATGAGTACTTCTGACATATCTGGTAAAACACTTTTGGGCGAGTCCAAATGACAAATGGGTAGATGTGTCATTATATTTACAAAATAATGACTTCATTTCCCCGATCAACAATTCCTCAGATCAACATGTGATCACTCACTTGTAACGTTCGTTGTTAAACAAGATAGGTTTAACCAGACGCTTGTACTCATCTGCCAATGCCGACATTCACTGAGACACAATACGCATCACGTTCATTGAACTACACTGCACTGCCGAGTCCACTGAACGCTTTCATCATCAACGAGCATCTCTCCAAATGCTACATTCAGGCAGAGCTCAGCAATGTTCGTGGCAAAACTACAAAACCAAATAGTGCATACTCACAATGATCCTGTACGTAGATCCTACATGTATCAGCGCTTCATGTTAACGCAAGTATGCAAATATTTCCACAAGTAGGTCAGGAGAAGCTCGCTTGTTGTTTACGGGAGTTATTTGTCGAGGTATTTATACGTGCCCATTCAGCCGCGACTAAAAGATGCGTAGTAACAATTCATGCATGTCGCCTTGTTGAGCTGAATGGCGCTGCACGGGATAAGAGCTGTTAAACTGTAAAGCTATTGACGACATAAATAGACTTCCACAACGAGCTTCACAGGTGTAACATAAAATATTCGGTCTGTCCCGGTTCCTCTACACGGGAACTATCGCAGAGAGAAAGCGTAGACAGCCTATATGCACTGATAAAACCCGGACAATAACTACTTCAAACCTTAAAGTATATTAACGTTTATCCTAAACATCCTGTCTTCAAGTGTGTATTTTCTGGTATAACCCGAGTGTGTGAATGTTGTTTTACACCGCAGCCATAATCCGCCAGCCTCTTTTTCAAGTCTTTGACAGAGTGAGTGAATTTGAGGGAGTGAGTGAGGGAGTTTGGTTTTACCCCGTTTTTAGCAATATTTCAGCAATACACCAGACATGGGCTTCACACATTGTACCCATGTCGGGAATCGAACCCGGGTCTTCGGCGTGACGAGCGAACGCTTTAACCACTAGGCTACCCGACCGCCCCTAAGTGAATATGATATCACGCCGATTTTAGCAATAGTCCAGAAATATCACCACAGGGGGATACCGGAATTGGGCTTCAGTCCCTGATCGGGAAACCAGTGGCAGGGTATTGTTAATGCATGGTGAACAGGTCAGCCAGGTGACCACCCGATTTTCAATCTATTCGGCTGATACGAGGGTGTATGGTTTTACGCCGAACCCGTCCTACGGCGTGAAGAGCGAGCGCTTAACCACCGTGCTACCCAACCGCCCCTTCAGCTCCCTGGACATGCATTGGTTGCTGGGGACCTGTCAGGCTTGTGTCATACAACCGGCGTTATACTAAATCTCGTGGTACTCTCAGTTTTGTAAGACACAGAGGCTCCCGAAATGCCCAATAACGTTAACCCATTCAAGCAGTGATAAAAGTATTGGTAATTTTTATTTTTATGTTATCGAAGTTGAGTGAGAACGAGAGAGAACCGTCTTGTTAATGCGTCATGCTTTGAAAAGGAGATGTAAAGTACACGACACGGGTACAATATATACTTGTAAGGCAAGCTTGAACATGAGAGACACAATACACATTAAAATATGACCTTGTGAAGATGACAGACGTTTATGACTTAAGACGACGACAACAGAAGGTCGCGGTATGGTGTCTGTTGCGTGAATCGTGGTCTCTGCGTGAATGTATCGTTCCACCACGGATCCCCGTGAGATCACAAGGCTGAGACCATCACGGTCGGAATACCGTGGGCAGCCGGCGTAAGTGAGCGAGTGAGTGAGTGAAAAAATTATTTTATTACTACATTGTGCTACTTTATTAAGACAACTGAAAACCTTCGAGCTGTCACAAACTGTTCGACACAGAAGGTTAACAGAGTAGCAGATCGCCATCGAGATGAGAATGTATTACTGGTAACAGAACTTCCATAAAAAAACCACATTGAAAGGGTTGTTTGCTATCTCGCCTAGTTTTGTTAAGGTAATCGTGTAAGCTGAAGGTTATTTTCGGAGTGAGTGTGTTTGAGTCACAGTGACCCGGCAATGTTGGTTGAAACATCATAAATAGCCACGGTTCATATCCTATGCGGGTATGCATGTCATATCTAGGGTGACGAACGTATCTACGATTAGCCTTCTTTGTGGAGTAAAGCTGCTTTCTAGGAGGCCAGGGTCGCTGGGCATCGCGATACAAAGGTAACCCGGATAAGGATTTGTTGCCGGGATTATAGTTTCTGTTGCAGTTGTAAGTCTTCCGGTGTAAGGGTATCACTTCCCACCCCTGACGCGAACCTCTTCCGACCCAGGACATGCTCCCCCACCCCCACCCCCACCCCCACCCACACACCCCTGACACGCACCTCCTTATCCCTGGCAAAGCACATCACCCCACCCCTGAATCGCGCGTCTCCCCATCCCTGACTTGCACCATCCACCCGACACGCAAACCCTTGTCACCCCTGACACACGTACCTCCCCACACTTGAGATGCACCTCCCCGCCCCTGGCAAAGCACATCGCGCGTCTCCCCATCCCTAACTTGCACCATCCACCCGACACGCATCCCTTGTCACCCCTGACACACGTACCTCCCCACACTTGACATGCACCTCCCCGCCCCTGGCAAAGCACATCGCCCCACCCCTGAATCGGGCGTCTCACCATCCCTGACTTGCACCATCCACCCGACACGCATCCCTTGTCACCCCTGACACACGTACCTCCCCACACTTGAGATGCACCTCCCCGCCCCTGGCAAAGCACATCGCCCCACCCCTGAATCGGGCGTCTCACCATCCCTGACTTACACCATCCACCCGACACGCATCCCTTGTCACCCCTGACACACACACTCCCAAAACCTTGATACGCACCTCCCCACCCCTGGCAAAGCACATCGCGCGTCTCCCCATCCCTAACTTGCACCATCCACCCGACACTTAACCCTTGTCACCCCTCACACACGTACCTCCCAAAA